CTGTACAGTGACATCAAAACATCTTCAAAATCGTCTAATATGTCGTAGAGAACACATATCCCTCACTTAGATTTTGAAAAAATAGAAATTGAAAAAATTAGAATTAGAAAAAAGTTTAGAATTTGAAAGAAAAAATCAAAATCATCTATTATGTCTCAGAAAAAAACGTCACTTCCCTCACTTTGAATTAGACAAAAAAAGTATTTCAAATTCTTAGATAAATAGAAATAACATTGTATCTCTCATTTTGAAATAGAAAGAAAGACATACTTTCAAAATCATCTAAAATATCAAATCTATTTGTATTGATTATTTTTTTCAATCTCAAAATCCTCTAATATCTAAGACATGAATTAAAAAGCTCTAATCTGGACACAAGCTTCCAGTGGTTCCAGGAGTCAATTTACAGCTCCTGGCCGCCGTGTGTGTGTGTGTGTGTGTGTGTGTGTGTGTGTGTGTGTGTGTACTCACCTATTTGTACTCACCTATTTGTGGTTGCAGAGGTCGAGTCTTAGCTCCTGGGCCCGCCTCTTCACCGGTTGCTACTGGGCCCTGTGTGTGTGTGTGTGTGTGTGTGTGTGTGTGTGTGTGTGTGTGTGTGTGTGTGTGTGTGTGTGTGAGGTGTGTGTGTGTGTGTGTGTGTGTGTGTGTGTGTGTGTGTGTGTGTGTGTGTGTGTGTGTGTGTATGTATGTGTGTGTGTGTGTGTGTGTGTGGTGTGAGGTGTGTGTGTGTGTGTGTGTGTGTGTGTGTGTGTGTGTGTGTGTGTGTGTGTGTGTGTGTGTGTGTGTGTGTGTGTGTGTGTGTGTGTGTGTGTGTGTGTGTGTGTGTGTGTTTTGTGTGTGTGTGTGTGTGTGTGTGAGAGGTGTATATCACAGTATATTATACACTGAGAGGTGATTATCAAATGGTATACAATATGTAGGTCAGGCACGGGTAGTGTGACAAGGCACTTGTAGAGACAGGCACTTGGAGTGAGTCAGGCACTGGGAGGAGACAGCTCTGGGAGATCGAGAGTGGCAATTGAGCAATGATCTATCAGGAGGTCAGGGAAAACACGATACAGAGGGCGGGGTATGGGAATACTCCCTGGACGGCTGGGCTTCCACCTCGCCTCCTGGATGCTCCACACTAAGTCCGAAGACCACCTCGTTCTCCTCGTACATGCTCGAAGAACCTCGTCACTGCTCGAGCTCCTACAGTCCAGCTACGTTCTCATCTCCCTCCTCGTGCAGCACGACCACCATAGTAGCCACCTCGGCTACCACGTCTCCAGTCCTCTACGTGCTCCTTCGTCCTCTCGAGCTCAGTCCTGCGAGTGATCCTCGAGTGCAAGGCCTCACACGAGCTCTCCTCGGACTCCACACTGAAGTGCTCCTCCGACCAGTAGAGGCGCTACGTTCCTGCCACTCGTTGCTCCTCGTCTGCCAACGTGCTACATAGACACTCGTCGATAATAGTCTCACGTGAACCGATCGAATCGTCACATATAGCTGATAATAATGTCCCACCATCGTATTCTGCGTCTCACTCATCGTCGTAGTGATAGACTTATGGGCCTCCCGGCGTCAGACCGCGTCACCAATTACGACAGAGTAAATAAACGTCACAGAGAGCACGGTGACCCTTTAAGCACAGCAGTAGGAACCGTAAAGCACGAGCGCACCTCCTGCACGGCAGTCCCGAACGAGTATCCGCTCGCCGTACCCGCGCGTCCCTAGGCGGTTCTTCCCGGACGAACACAGAACGAAGGCGTACGACAGACGTCCAGACCGCGTAACGAATATCAGCCAGGCAGGTACCGCCCGCAGTCACGAACGTCCAAGAAGGAAGTCCCGAACGCCCCGTAAAGCCCGCGTCCGCCTCGAAGTCACGACAGCCGGCAACCTACGCCCGCCGGACACATTTCCGAACGGAATCCCTCCGCCTTCCCCTTCCGCAGACCGTCCTCGACCGCAGTGCTGCCAGTCCGCAAGAACGTACAGACCGCTCCGACCAGACCGAACCCTAGCAGTAACGGTGCACGAAGTCAAGACACGACGTAACGCCGCGCAAGGCCAGAAAGCGTCAACGACCGTCACCGACCGAAGTCACAGAAAGCAACGTCCGCAGTACACAGAAGGGACGTCAAGCACGCAGTATCCGCCACAGCAGTACAAGCCAGTCGACTGACTCTAGAGTCCACAGCACAGCCGGAAACTTGCCTAATGTTGCTATGTGTCTTATCTACACACTGAGAGGTGTAGATCTCAGTATACGAAGCTTGGTTGTATGAGAAATTGCGACCTATGGATAAACATGTAGGGAATCTTATCGCCAGTTTGCTGAGGGACTGACCACCGAGGTTCAGTATGGCGCTGAACTCTTCTACAGGGCTGATTTGGGAGCTGACCACCTCGTACAGACCATGGAGTGAACTCTTCCTCCAGGCTGAGGGACTGACCACCTCGTTCAAGACTGGAAGCTGAACTCTTCTCAGGCTTTCTGAGGGACTGTCCATCTTGTTCCAGACCATGGAGCTGGAACTCTTCTCCCAGGTTGAGGGGACTGACTCACCTTTGTTCCAGCATGGAGCTGGACTCTTCTCCCAGGTCTGAGGGATGACCATCTTGTTCCAGAACCATGGAGCTGAACTCTTTCTCCAGGCAGAGGGACTGACACCTGTATTCCAGTCATGAAGCTGGACTTTCTCCAGGGCTGAGGACTGACATCAGTGTTTCCAGACCATGGAGATGAACTCTTCTCCGTGAGGATGACACCGCTGTTCTAGCCATGGAGCGATCTTCTCAGGCTGAGGGACTGACCCATCTTGTTCCAGACCTCCATGGAGCTGAACTCTTCTCCAGGCTGAGGGGACTGACACCTTGTTCCAGACCATGGGCTGAACTCTTTCCAGGCTGAGGGACTGACCATTTGTTCCAGACCATGGAGCTGAACTCTTCTCCAGGTCTGAGGGAACTGACCACCTTGTTCCAGACATGGGGAGCTGGACTCTTCTCAGGCTGAGGGACTGACCATCTGTTACCAGACCATGGAGCTGAACTCTTCTCCAGGCAAGAGGGACTGACCACCTTGTTCCAGATCACTGAAGCTGGACTCTTCTCAGGTGAGGGACGACCATCTTGTTCCAGGGGACCATGGACTGAACTCTTCTCCATGGCTGAGGGAGCTTGACCACTTCTTCCAGACTCATGGAGCTGAACTCTCTTCGCCAGGCAGAGGGACTGACCACTTGTTCCAGACATGAAGCTGGACTCCTTCTCCAGGCTGAGGGATGACCATCTTGTTCCCAGACCATGGGAGACTGAACCTTTCCAACGGTTTGAGGGACTGACCACCTTGTCCGGACCATGGAGCTGGACTCTTTCTTCCAGGCTGAGGAGCTGACCACCTTTGTTCCAGACCATGGGGATGGTCTCTTTTCTAGGCTGAGGGGACTGACCACCTGTTTTCTTCCGGGGACCATGGTGCTGGACTCATCGTACTGTCAGGTCTGCTGAGGGATGACCACCTTTGTTCCAGACCATGGAGCTGGACTCTTCTCCAAGGCAGAGGGGACTGACCACCTGTGTTCCGACCATGAAGCTGGACTCTTACTCAGGTCTGAGGAACTGGAGACCAACCTTGTTTCCAGATACCCATGGAGATGGACTCTTCTTCAGGTGAGCGACTGACTCGCACCTGTGTTCCAGCACGCATGGAGCGTGGACTCTTCTCATGGCTGAGTGATAATGAGCACCTTGTTCCAGGACCATGGAGTGGACTCTTCTTCAGGCTGACGGGATGACACCTGTTCCAGACCATGGAGTTCGGACTCTTCTCTGCTGGTGACTGACCTACTTGTTCCAGACCATGGGAGATGGACTCTTTTCAGGCTGAGGGACCTTGACACCTTGTTCCAGACTCCATGGAGCTGGATCTTCTCCAGGCTGAGGACTGACCACCTTGTTTTGAGACCATGGAGCTGAACTCTTCTCCAGGCTGAGTGACTGACCACCTTGTTCCCAGACCAGGGCGTGACACTCTTCTCCAGGCTGAGGGACTGACACCTTGTTCCAGACCATGGAGCTGGACTCTTCTCCAGGCTGAGTACTGACACCTTGTTCAGACATGGAGCTGAACTCTTCTCCCGGTGAGGGACGGGACCACCTTGTTCCAGACAGATGGAGCTGAACTTTCTCCTGGGCTGAGGGACCTGCACCACCTTGTTCAGACATGGAGCTGGGACTCTTCTCCAGGCTGAGGGGCTGTCGCTCACCTTGTTCCAGACCATGGAAGCTGATTCTTTCCAGGCAGAGAGGACTGATCCACCTTGTTCAGACATGAAAGCTGGACTCTTCTCCACGCAGAGGGAATGACCACCTTGTTCCAGACCATGGAGCTGAACTCTTCTCCAGGCTGAGGGATGACCACCTTGTTCAGACCATGGAGCTGAACTCTTCCCTCCAGATGAGGATGGCCACCCTTGTTCCAGACCATGGGAGTTAAACTGTCTTTCCAGGCAGAGAGACTGCCACCGTGTTCCAGGACCATGGAGCTGAACTCTTCTCCAGCTCTGTAGAGATCTGACACCTTGTTCAGCCATGAGCTGGACTCTTCTCCAGGCTGAGGTACTGACACCTTGTTCCAGCCATGGAGGCTGGACTCTTCTCCAGGCTGAGGTACTGACCACCTTGTTCAAGCCCCATGGGCTGCAACTCTTCACAGGCTGAGGGAACTGGACCACTTGTTCCGACCATGGAGCTGACTCTTGCTCTCAGGCTGAGGGACTGACCTCACCTTGTTCCAGACCATGGGCTGGACTCTTCTCCAAGCTGAGGGGCTGACCACCTTGATTCCAGAACAGGAGCATGAACTCTTCTCCAGGCAGAGAGAACTGAACACCTTGTTCCAGACAGGAAGCTGACTCTTCTCCATCAGAGGGACTGACTCCACTTGTTCCAGACTTGGAGCTGAATACTCTTCTCAGGCTGAGGACTGACCCACCTTGTTCCAGACCCAT